TATTTGTAAGAGGATACACGGATTGACTTGAGTCGTGCTGGAAACTGTCCTAAGAAACTATTTCAGCAATGTGAAATGTTTTCCCAGGATTACACAAGCCCATCTCTAATTTATTTAGAGGATACAGGAATCAACAAAATATTAAATTATAAACCGAGCTAGCTAGTAGGAAAAGTAAATAAGAAAGGAAACAACTAATATTTAATATTGGACAACAAAAGAAGAAGTGACGCGTGAAAGGAAAGGAGAGGAATGATGTTTTTGCTGATGATGATTTCCTTGTCAAATGAGAACCTATTTATAGTTGTAATTGCATGAAACTTGGCTTTTGCATGACAAAAATGTAGCTGAATATTTATCATTTTTTAGACTTCTTTTGCCACGAATCATAACCTTCTAGAAAGGCTAAAACACTTGTCCAAAGGGCATTAAAATATTGCCACAGTATTCATATATGTAAATTTCGAATGTGGGATTGGAGAAGTTGGTGAATCAGTGTTTTTAGCTTATCTCAGTAATTATTCAAGTGTTCATCGAGGACATCTTTGAACTACCTTACTCGAGTTTTTTAACTTACAGAGTTACTTTTTCTTTTAATGTTCTGTTTTAAAAAATGTTGGTTAAGTGCCATCTCATCAATAGATATGTATAATCATCGAAGTATAAAAAAATTGTGAGCACCTAAGTTTTTATTATATTTAATTTTTTATCACTTTTTAGTGTGTAAATAATTTTTAAGTTTAATCTGCATATTTTTAACTTTTATTTAACCTTTTTTTAAATTTATAGATTTTACGTAAGAAAATTGAAAATGATAAAAAGAGTCTCATTTTTAGTATAAGTTTTATTTTTTATTTACAAAGAAATATAAGTTTTTAAAAAATATTATTTTATTTAGCTTAGTGCAATTTTTATGTTAGAGGCTTTCAACAAATAAAAATTGAGTAATTAGTGCTTTTGTCTTGCTATTGCTGATTTAGGAGTAGTACTTATTTTATCTGTTTCTAAAAAGAAAACAAAAAGAAAGAAAAAGAGCAAATCAAATTCGTCACTTGCCAAATGATTTTTCTTTGTCCCTACAACCTTACATGATGGATCCGCTCTTCCACTCATTTGGGATTCTTTCTAATTCCTCCTAATTCTCACGTGAGATGCTAGGCATATAAATATTTTTCCTTTATTTTATTGTATTCATTTTCGCACAATTATAGCAAACCTTACGTTACAAATGCACATCCCACAGTAATCACTCAAAACACAAACACACAATGTAACCCTCATATGATAGCTAGCAAAGATTGACTTCCAAGAAACTTCCCTAATTCTGACCCCAACCCTCCCCCTCTCTCTATCTCACTCTATATATATGGCTCTGATGCCAAAGATGATAGCCATGATGGTAAAAACCATCTAAATTATCAAGATGCTCAAGATATACATGATGATTGAGAAATGAGTTTCGATTCAATAGCTCTACACAATCTTGACACGTAGGAGCAGACAAGCAGGACCCCAGTCAAAAATAATTAGGAAGAAAAAGACGAAGGAAGGGACATGAGAAAAGTAGTACTAGTACAATAGACACGTGAAAAAAGAAGAAAAAGACAAATAGAATGACATAAAGTAGTACTGAAAGGACTTTCTTTGAGTGGAAAAACTAATTACATAAAATGATAAACAAAAGAAGAAATTTCTGCTCAAGCCATGTGACGATGGGGTCCAGTGAAGTACCCGACAAAGCTCGAAAAAAAAAGTTTCTGGAGAGGTTTGAAATATATAGAGAGCGCTTTCATATTTATCTTTTTCTGGGTTTTTGCCTTTTTTCTCTTTTTCCACCATTTAAGATTTGCTTTCTTCAACTTAAATATCAATAAAGGAAAGCGACAACTAACTACAATTGTTTAACGTCCAAGAAGGAATGTAACGGTTTCCATAGTTAATGAAAATAATTCTGATAGTCAAATGAAAAAATAAATAGCTTTCTGAATAACAGTTAAAACTTATTATTTGTCTTATTAGATAGTCCAAAACTAATTTGATCATCAAATCAAATCAAAGGAGAAATTGAGGAATCCTTGTGGAAGACAGGAAGTCGTGAGGGAAGAGGATGCAGACTTCTATCTTTTCAACAAAGGTATTTGATCATAGTACGATTTCATAGCTAAATCAGGTGTGTGTTTAGTTGCTAATTAACTTGCTCTTCTCCTCGTTGTCTGACAATAAACTCTCACGCTTTCTTTCTATTACTGTGTGAAGAAGCGTGCATGAGCTTTTATATATATCCATTTTTCATTGAAAATGGTGTAAATATGTGAATAAACATTTAAACTTCTTTGAAATTCTGCAGATATCCATGATTATTACAGTTTACAAAGATTTGTTGGATAGTTGTCTTTAAAAAGGTTAAAAACAGGTAGAGGTGGCAAAACGGTTAAAAGAAAACAGTTATACACCCATATTATCCATCAAAAAATGGGTTGGATAATGAACCATTTAAAAATGGGTCGAATATGGATAAAGAACCATATTATCCACTTAGAAAATGGTTAACCAAATGGATAACCAATGGATAACTAACTTTTATATTTGTAAAGCCTCAAATTGGAGTTTCTCAAGTTTGGAAGACTAGGAATTTTCTCATAAGTGATCATATTTAAGAAGCCATGGATAATATGGATATTCATGTTATCCGCCAGATAAACCCATTTTTATCCGTCTCAAATACGGGCCGGGTCGGATAATTTATCCGTTTTTCTAAATTACCCGTTTGACCCTCTCATATCCGACCCAACCCACCCGTTTGTCACCCTTATAAACCGGGCATTTTCTTTTAGCTTGATATTATCACATTCAACTTTTTCTCTTCCTTGGTAGCCAGATCCAAAAGCGAAGGAAGTTCCTTTCTTATTCATCAACTTATTGTTCATTTATTTGAGATGTAATAATTTTTTGCTTTACTTTGTATTATTTAGTTTGGTACTAAATAATTGTCGTTTATCGTGCTTCTAAATATTTTTTACTTTCTTTCTCCTCAGATTGTAGCACTAATTTATTTCGCATAACGTCGATGGAGTAGTTTGGAAACTTTATTTTTGTCATATATCTTAATTGTTCCTATATAAATCCCGATTCATTTTTTTCCTAATGATTTTTAATGGTGTAACACACAAATTTTCTTAGAAGCATGTTATATACATCTTGCAGTGCCGAAAGTCTTACATAGTTTTATTAGAGATGATATACGAGGAACCATCTAATGACACATATCTATGATTCTTTCTTTAAGATGAAGCAGCCGTAGGTTAGATCACGTAGTCTTTGACTTATTTTCTCATTGAACTGAAGGTGCAAAATAAATTAGACTGATAAAAAATAATCACAATTCATTGTCATATTACCCGCTTTCAATTAATGAGTGACTATTATATAAATGTTGACCTTAGCCCATAACTGTCCATTGTAATTGGCAAGAGGAACTTAACTGCCACATGTAAATTGGAGAATTCAAATATTGATTTTGTCTCTATAATCGAATTTATTTGTCCCTATAGAAAGTTTTTCGAAAGATGTATATCAGTCCTTGTATGATTTTTATAGCGAGCAAATCATACAAGAAATGAGTGTTTAAGTATCTTGATTCAACACTGATGCTTCCTTTTTGTGTGTGGGGCGTGTTTGACATCTAATGCTACCAGGTCCTGCTGGAGTTAGGCTTGGAGATTCAAAGCTTGACCAGATTATTAGCTAAACTGTTAAGTCAACTGAGCATGAAAATCACAGGCGGTCCATCTTTTAATGCTTAATATTGAGCGAGGTTGATCCCGATAACTCAGTCACCAAAATTTAAATAAATTCACGCAAAATTAGCTTGTTCAAAACTAAGCCAAGCATAAGGCTAATCCAAAAGAGATCCTACTTATAGACTAACTCTAGGCTCCATTTTTTGTTAGATTTGCAGGGTTATTGCCAAAGGGGTTAAAAAGAAGGAAAAAGTTAAAAAGGTTATAGCTGGTGGGAATAAAACCAATGACTTTACAAAGATTTTGAACCCTCTTGCTAAGCTATGCTTTTGGGCTATGTCAAGGGGATTCAAAACATGATATATAGAGGTATAAACCAGATTTTACCTTACATATACAATATAATTTTTCGGCAAAGGGTGTTCGTCCCTAAATCCGGCCCTGACTGTTTTGAGTGCTAAAGTGTATTGCATTTTCATGCTTACACTATAACGCTAAGGGTTTCTTTAAAACAGAAAGTAATTAAACATTAAAACAGAAAGTAAGCAGCAATTTAGTAAACTTGTAACTCATCAACTCAAGGACCAATTCAAAAAATTATTACATTCTCAATAAATTAAGTAGTATTACATACCTTCCCAACTTCCCAAGTTCAAAATGCTGGTAACATGAAATGCAAGTTAGAAGAATGCAACTCTAATAACATCAAGAAAAGGAACTTTCAGGTGTAAATGTCTATAAACATTTCCAGTACGTTCCAGGAAACAAAAGGTTTACATTATTTTTGAAAAATAATTTAAAGATATACTCATAATTAATTTTTGCAAAAGCCTACTTTGGTTATTTTTAATACGTATTTAAAAACTAATGTAATTATTTTATAAATTGTATGAGATTTTTTACGACTGCGCCAAGCGTGGTGGAGTTTCACTAGTCTGAGGTACTTCCTCCGTCTAATAATATGTGTCGTGATTCTATTTTGTACGCCTCTTAAGAAAGAATAATTTTTGACTACTTTACATTTATTAAATATTTTTTTTAATTTATGTATCATCTCTATCAATGATATTGTTCAAATTTTTACTAAATGTGAATGCAATTAATTATTAAGAGTAAGAAAAGAAAAATATAATTAATTTTATCTTTAATTTCTAAAATAATAAATAATTTGAGATAATTATTTTTAATAATCAGGACACATATTATGTAGTAGTAAAAGAAAGGGAGGAAAAAAGATAGAAACCCTAGCAGACTTAAAAAAGAAAAGAGCCGCAGTAGTTGGCAAAAAAAAAAGAAGGCACAGCTATCTCCTTCTTCTCCGACCAAAAATGCATTAGCTGTTTCCACCATTGCTTCAGCCATAAAAGCTCCACCAAACCACCAAAATAAGCAAATGTAAAAGACCACATTCTTCCCCTGTTAAACCAGCCCCAACACTATCCCCCCTCCACCCAAAACACCACTGTTTTCTCCCAAAAACGACCTCAAATCACCCCCAAAACCAGCTCCCTTCCACCTTAAAAGAACCCCCAAAACTGCAGCAAAACCAGCTGCGAAATCAGACCAAAAACGAGCTGAAAAGGGAACCAAAATCCAGCCCCAAAGAGCAGCAAAACTAGCTGCGAGACTGCTGAAAAACAGCCCCAAAACTCAGCAAAATCAGTCACAAAATGCAACCAAAAACAGCCCCAAGACCCAGCTATAAATCAACCTGAAAATACCACAAGAAAGAACCACAAACGGGCATAATCTATTTCTCTGTTCTTCGCTAGCTCGATCGTTCACGATTCCTTTTGAGTTTGGCGTGTTAGCTTTCGTTTGAGGTCGTCGTCATTGGTTTTCAGGCGTGGTCCTTGTCCTTGACTCGATTATCGAGTTATAGAAGTTTAAATTTTGGATTCCACCAATGTAAAGGAAGGTTCATTTTCTAATCCTAGCATTTTAATCTTATTTTGTGCATTGCTCAAATGAATTCATGTTATTCTTCGGGAGATGATTCTGTTGAATATATTTTTGGATGTTCTTTGTTTTGAATACTACATGTTAATGAATTAATGCTTTGCTGTAAAAGTCTTAAGTCTTTTCTGTTTTCTTTGTAGAAATTTTATTTGAGGAGATTTACTCTTTTGATTGTTGCTTGAGTATAGTTTAGTTGAAATCATGTTGCAATAAGTTTACTGGTTAGACTACTTTGATATCCTGCAGTAGGCTTTATTGAGGTGAATGCTTAGGCTTTAAGAGTAATATTATAGTGTTCAAGGGATTTTGGGCCTAAGTTAGTTTAGTAATGGGAGCTGCTTGAAATAATTTTCAACGAGAAGATAAAATAAAATTTGGCCCAAAAGGATTATGCCTGGCCCTTTTCCTTAAGTAGAATAAGCACAAGCAGGCTCACTTCTTTCATATTGAATAATGCCAGTCACCTCCATATCTTGGTCCATTAGCTTAATAATAATTAAGTCACATCATTTCTCCACAACAAATTCCACAATTTATTACCTCATAACAATCTCAAATTAGTTAAGAAAAATAACTCATAACGTTAGCATGCTTTTAGGCACGTAAAATAATCAATCATCATGGTTATGGGTACGGTTCTCGTGGCGTAACTGTGATACTTAATTCCAAAATTCAAGTGTTCGTTTATGCGACTTGATCTTTCAATTTCAAATAACAATAAATGAGTCGTTAAATCATGGGTATGTACGTGCGGCATGATTTTCGACGCGTACAAACAAGTGCGCGCCAACGTGACTTGATCAAGATAAATTCCATAACAACAACAACAACAAACCAGTGTAATCCCACAAGTGGGGTCTGGGAAGGGTAGGATGTACTCAACCTTACCCCACCCTGGAAGGGCAGAGAGATTGTTTCCGACAGACCCTCGGCTAAAGAAGGTGAAAGAAGCTCTGATAGCAAGTAATAGCAAGACAATATAATTAGAAAACTAAATCGAAGATAGCAACAAAGAACATGAAAGAGGTACCGGTAGCAAGTAATAGGAAGACAATATATTTAGAGAACTAAATCCAAAGTAACAAACGAGAATATGAACGAAGTACTGCTAGCAAACTACATAAGTACCGATGCCTAGTAATAACAGAACAAGAAATGCGATAATAGCAAACTAAGGATAATAGGGTACAGTACTAACACTACTACTATCGAACTAGGGAAGCCAAAGGGAAACGCACGATTACTTACTAACCTTCTACCCTAATCTTCAACCTCCACACCTTTCTATCTAGGGTAATGTCCTCGGTTAGCTCAAGCTGTGCCATGTACCGCTCCCGCTTGATCACCTCTCCCCAAGACTTCTTTGGCCTACCCTTAACCCTCCTCTTACCCTCCTCCCCCCAAACGCTTCACACCTCCTGATTGGAGCATATGTGCTTCCCCTCTTAACATGTTCGAACCATCTCAGTCTCGCCTCACACATCTTTTCCTCCACAGGGGCCACTCCCACATTGTCCCGAATAACTTCATTCCTAATTCTATCCAACCTAATATGCCTACACATCCATCTCTAACATTCTCATTTCAGCTACTTTCATCTGTTGGACGTGTGAGTTCTTGACTGGCCAACACTCTGCCCCATACAACATAGGTGGTCTAACCACTACCTCGTAGAACTTACCCTTAAGTCTCAACGGTACATTCTTATCGCAAAAGACACCGGACGCGAGCCTCCACTTCATCCACCCTGCTCCGATACGGTGTGTGACATCCTCATCAATATATAAGGGAAATACGCTTTACTACCTACCAACCTTCTACCATAATCTTCGACCTCCACAACCTGTTATTAAGGGTCGTGTCATTAGTAAGCTGAAGATGTGTCATATCATGCCGAATCACCTCTCCCTAAGGCCTTCCTCTTCCCCTCCTTGGACTCACCATGTGCAATCTCTTGCACCTCCTTACTGGGGCATTCAGACATCTCTTCCTCACGTACCCCTACCATCGCAACCTCACTTCCCGCAGCTTATCCTCCACAAGAGTAACCCCCACCTTGTCCCGAATATCTTTATTCATGATCCTGTCTCTCCTAGTATGCCAACACATTCACCTCAACATCCCCATTTGCACTACTTTCAACTTCTAGACATGAGAGTTCTTAATTGGCCAACACTCTGTTGCATACAACATAGACAGTCTAACCATCACTCTGCAGAACTTACCTTTAAGTCTTGGTGGCACCTTTTCTATATTAGGGTGGTCCGAAAAGAATGACACCTTTTTATATCTAGAAATAACTAATTTAAAATTTCTCGTTTTACCCTTAACAAGAAGTTTTTATAGATGCCCAAGTGTTATGGTATATTTAAAACCACAAGTTACAAAAGTTTTCTTTTGTTAAATTTCGTGTCAAGCAAACTATGCCATACATTGATACAAGTGGTAACAGAGGGAGTACTAAGGGGTCGTTTGGTATGAGGTATAATAAGGTATGATGGTGGTATAAAAATTTAATACCATCTTAATACTCTGTTTGGTTAGCAAACCAGGTATAAGTTATCCCGGTGTTAATTTTAACACTGGGATAACTTATACCTTATAGAAGGTGGGGTAATTAGCACCGGTATAACTTATACCTTCTTCTTAGAAATTATGCAATTGTCATTCTTAATACAACATACCAAACAATGAATAAACAACAATCCCAGCATAACTAATCCCAATATAGCTTATACCGGTATAAATTGTATTCCAACCAAACGACCCCTAAAGGTAATACTCTTGACTTGGCTCTTCAAGGTGAACTCATTTTGGGTAGCATATTTATGTCAAACACTTCCCTTATACTATGAAAATCCTATACAATATACCATATGAAATAATTCCCATATTAAAATATAATGATTATAAATATGAAGTATATCCCATATTAAAGTATAATTATTATAAGATAAATTAAAACTATAAATGAAAAGTTATTATGTATTTGTTTTTTATGAATTTTAAAAAAGAGTATAATTATTTTTGTTGAAATCTTTATTCAAACCTTTGATTAAAAAAGAGAATAAATATCTTTGAAGTATTTATTTGGTGAGAAACTCTTAAATAGGAAATGAACACTAATTATTTAGTGAGATGACTAAAAGTTTTGCGCATTTGACACAATATTTTATTTTTCGAAACTCATAAATATAATATTGTTATCCTTATTTTTTCTAAAAATATTTACACCTCTTAAGATGCCGGAAGTAGTACAAGCAGACAACTATCTGGTTTTCCTAGTAGGTCATATCCAGTTTGCACAATCTCAACCAGTGTTTTGGAGAGCGAGAAGCGGAAAAAAGCGAGGAGGCCTCGCTTCATCGAAGTGAGAAGCGTGAAGCGAAGTGCTGCGCTTTTTTCATGTGAAGCGCAATTTAATACATAAATAAAAAATATTAAATAGGCAAAGATACATGACCAAAAACTCAATAAAAATAACATATTAAGAAAATGTTTCAATTCTTAACTTAAGAAGCAATTGATAGATACTAAAACTAGATAGTCAATAATCCTCAAAAGTCATAACATATTAAACAAATGCAAAACCAAATCACAAAAGAAGCAACATCCTATTCTTCAACCAAAAAAAAAACAGAAATGTTAAAACAGGGCAGAACAGGGAACAGCAGAAAAACAGAGCAGAAGAATAGTGAACAGCAGAAATTAAAAAAAAAAAACAGAGCCCTCGCTTTTAATAGAAAACAGGGCAGAACAAAGAACTAAAAAAATTAGAAAAGAAGAAGAGAAAGAGAAGAAAAAAGAGGAGAGGAGTCAACAGTGAGCATCAGAAATTAAAAAAAAAAAGAGTCAGAGCAGAACCCTAAAATAGAAAACAAGGCAGGATAGAAAAGAAGAACTGAAAAAAAATAGAATGGAAGAAGAGAGAGAGAAGAAGAGAAAAGATGAGAGGAGTCGAACAGTAGCAGAGAAAATCAGAAGAGGAAGAGAAGAGAAGAAAGAGAAGAAGGAGAAGAAGATAAACTTACCTGAGAGAAGACAAGAACTCAAAGGCTTGCAACAATTGAGAGAAGAAGAGAGTCGTCGCAGCAGAGAAGCAGATGTGTTTGAAAGAAATGTCGTAAGCGTATTTGCAATTTTTTTTTTAAAAACCCTAGGCAGCCGCTGGATCTCGCTTAAGCGAGCTTCTCACTTTTTTCCATCGCCTCGCTCCTCACTTTTTTGCCTGAAGCGTGCGCTTATTTACAGAAGTCGCGCTTCAGGGTAGAAAAGCGTAGACCCCTCCCCTCGCTTCTGCGCTTTAAGCGAGAAGCGCTTGCTTTTAATAACACTGATCTCAGCATAGTATCGTTCTCACTAACGCCAAGATGCCTGAGAAAAATTGTTAGTGGCATTAATTAGCATTGATATTAACGAGAAAATGACATTTGGTTGTTTCTTTCAATTTGGTGGAATTTTGTTAGTTTAGTCTGCTTCTTTTATTCTTCTTTTTCAAGTTCAGAATTATTACACATAATTAATATTTGACTAAGTGTTACTTGTTTTGTCTTCACTTCAGATTTACTTTTGGAGGGGAAAAAAGGCTATAGAGCAAAATCTTTTCTTTCGCTTGGAAAGTTCCAGCCTTCCAGGTTATTTCGTGGTTGAGTGGTCAGTCATCTGATTGTACTACTTCCAGCGTCTGGCAACTCCATACCCAGAAATTGTCTAAGCACTCCAAAGAAAGGTGAGGAGGAGCAATCGGACTTGAAAATAAGCCTTTGATCTTTTCCAGACTGATGAGAGGCAAATCTGTATTCTTTAAGGGCCTTTGTTTCATTCTGGGTTTTGGACCTTAGTTTCATTCTTAATTGGATAAGAATCTTTAATCTGTTCTCCAGATGGTAGAATCTTCTACATTTATATACAGGATTTACGCGTAACTTGAGTGGATAAGAGAAAGTTAGCCTTTGCTGAAATGCTGAGGAGGGTAGAAGAAGGTTGCATTGTCTCGATATTGAATTACCATCAGAAGCGTACTCTTGTGAATGTAAAGCTAAAATGGGTTAAAGATAGTGTCTTGGACAGTGTAGTAGCTGGAGGCAGAGAACTAAAGGCGGGATCTACACTAGTTTCCATCATTGCCTCACAATCCAGTTCTGGTCTTCCTATTTACCATCTCACAACCAAGCGTGGGCAGCTTGGGCTCCCTCATGAATTGAAAATCTCCACTTTCCTTAGGCGATACCCAAATATTTTTGAGGAATTTTCTTGTTGTGATAGTGCTGGCACTCCTGTTCCGTGGTTCAAATTAACTCCTGAAACCCTAGAGTTTCATCATGAAGAAGTTACTGTTCTCTGCGAGTGCAGCACGGATATTGTTAGTAGGCTGAGAAAGCTTTTGATGATGACCAAGGAGAGGATGCTTCCTCTTCAGACAGTTGATCAACTAAAATGGGATTTAGGCTTGCCACATGATTGTGGTAGTTCATTGGTTATAAAACACCCTGAGCTGTTTAATTTGGTGGACCTTCCCGATGGTCGTGTTGGTCTTAAGCTTTTAGCATGGGATCACAAATTAGCTGTTTCCCATTTGGAGGCAAATTCTACAAGGGGAAATGGGACCTTGATGTTTCCTATTGGATTCACCCGGGGTTTCGGGTTAAAGAGAAAATGCATGGAATGGTTGGAGGAATGGCAAAAGCTGCCTTATACTTCTCCTTATGTGGATGCCTCTCATTTGGACCCAAGGACAGATGTGTCAGAGAAGAGGATTGTTGGAGTGTTTCATGAGCTTTTGCACCTCACCTTACAAAAGAAAATAGAGAGGAGAAACGTTAGCAATCTCCGCAAGCCATTTGCATTGCCTCAGAAGTTCACAAAGGTCTTTGAGCGGCATCCTGGGATTTTTTACATTTCTATGAAGGGTGACACTCAGACTGTCGTCCTTAGAGAGGCTTATAATCGCAATCAACTGATTGAGAAGCATCCCCTTGTTCACATAAGGGAGAAATTTGCGAACATGATGAAGCAAGGTTTTCTAGATCGTAGTAGGGGGTTATATAGAGATACTAACCAAGGCGTAGAAGAGGAGTCACTGACAAGTAGTTTTGTTGGTTAAACCTGTGGAACTAGATATTACTCTGGTATAGAGACTAAGATTCTGATATGCTTTTAGAACATGAAGCAAAGTAGATTAAGGTCCTTCAAGAATTTAATGTTACAAGCTGAGATGTGATTGGCTGTACTATTTGAAGTTCTCAGAAACCTGTGGAACTGGATTGGATATGCTTTCAGAATACGAATCAGATCAGATAGAGGTCTTTAAGAAGTTCTGTAATTACAAGCTGAGAGGTGATTATGTGTAACTTTGCGATTCTCATTTTCTGATCTGAATTTGCGTAGAAGTTCTTTATAACGTTGAGGAAGTTCTCCCTAGTCTTGCTTATGATATGGTCCTCACTCCTCATCTTCGTTACAATGAACAGGTCAAAGAAGACTCAGCCGTTTTAGATCAAGATGAAAGACAATTAACTAATGCAATTGGAAGTTGAGGTGAGAGTGTGGATTACTCCCTTCATGAGCATCGTTTCGGAGAAGCACCTGTGGAGTGCCCTTGGGTGTGTCTCAAAGATATGATTGACAGTCTTTTGTTCTCTAAGAAGAATTCAGCTGGAACTCTTGCAGCGACTGACCCTGTGGTGTTATAATATAATGGTAAGGATTGTTTACCTTTAACGAGTAAGTTGATTTATCAGATTTTAGTTTCTAAAGGCTGGATGAAGGCTTTGAGATTCTGTTAGATACTATGTTCATACTGTTCTTTGAGAATGCTATGAGACAGTGTATGTGATAGATAGTTTATGTCAATGTTGTCATCAAGTTCTCTCCATGATAATCATTTATTTTTTTCTGTGTTGTCATCAAGTTGTCTCCATGATATATCATTTATCTGTTTCTCATTAATTTTAACTTTCAGGTCATGAATGAATCTGGGAACATGTGGAAAAAGAACTTTTAAGATGTCCCTGAAATGGACACAATCAAAATTAGAATGTGTGAGACAATTATTTTGGCAACCAAAATGAAATACTGTCTGTCTCAATTTATGTGATGCACTATCCATTTTAGTTTGTTACAAAAAGAATGATACATTTTTGTATTTAGAAACAATTTAACTTTAAAAAATTTCATTTTACCCAGCCACACAAATATTTGTGAATTGTTTTAGACACAAGTTTCAAAAATCTTTCCTCCTTAGACAATTGAAGCGCTTTACAAATAGTGTACCTTACACTTTAAAGTGTAATAGCAGTGTTGGAAAAACTACTTATCTGATGGTTACTGTAAACTGATTTAAGAACTCTCAATGATCTGGTTGATTTCAAAATCTTAAATAACTGCACAAGTGTTCCTCTGAAACTATGGATGCTTCTTACTTTACAATTCTGATTTTGGAGATTGTCATAATTCTGCAATCTGGTTGTATCATTTCTGATTACCTCAAGGGAGTAGAGGAGCAAGAAGAAGAGGAGCGCATTTCCTTTTGGCACTCATTTTAAAAATGAGTAACTAGAGAACATGGATTGAGTTTTGATGCTTAAGTATTGTTTCACTTGTATGTATGAGTTATTGTATCTGGCTTTTACGTGTTAGCTTTTCCAGCTGCTTAAAGACTAGATAGGTTAGATATTGTATCATCTTTGGATTACCATCTGTAATCAGAAATGAGAGGGACTAGATTACCATCACTTTATTGTTCCGTGCATTTCTAACAACCAAGACAAGAGGCTAGTTGCAGATTACAAACACTATATTCCTTATTAGTTTTGCAGGCCAGAGGATAGCAGATAGCCTTGCCCATGCCGGTGCTCCTCCCCTGGGTGACATGTCGATGGCATTCGTATCCACCCATATTTATGCCAAGGACATTTCTGGATACCATTTAAAACAGAGAGAGCTGCATTCAACGTTGAATCATGAGTTTTCATGAGTCGGAACTCACAATCTGGCTGTTCGTTCAGTTTCTGGCAGCTTTCTCAACTCACTATTCCATTTTCCTAGCACTCAACATTTCCATTGCTTTAGGTGTTTGCTTTTTCTTTTCAAGTGAGCTACATTTTCTCTGATAAGCCTCTATGCTACTGAAGTAAAATTGTCACACCAGGTTTTATCTTCTCTCAGTTGTGGGTCTATTTTCTCCAACTTCGATATTAGGCTTGAAAATGTACATTTGCAAAAGGCATCAACTTTGCAGTTTGATTTGTTTTATTTCCATGGTGGAATGAACAGTATCTCGTTAAAGTATGTGTTGATTTGTGAATAAGGCCAAGACTGACTGTTACATGATGAGGATTTTTCATAAAGCACTATAGTTTAGAGCCTAGTAATTATAGTTTGCCTAATTAACATTCACTGTTCAATTGTTACCAGCTTGTATCACTTGTATTCAAACACGCAACGAATATAGCATGTGTTGATTATATTTGTTCTTGCAACGAATACAACCTCAATTGTATACAAATGATACAACATGTAGCGGCTATATACGGGGGTATATGTAAATGATACCACCTATATCAACTGTATTCATATTGACTGTATTCAAATGCGTAATGAATACAACCAAGGCGAATATAGAAATACAAAAAAATTAAATGACTTTGTTGAGTGTCAAACTCAAGACCTCCGTTAACTAAGCGGATGCTCTAACCAGAGGTTGTGACTCTCTTATTTCAATTCAAAACAATTAAAATATTTTTTCATGAATTTGCTATAAAATTCAAATATAGCTACGAATAATAGCAACGAATGGTAAATACAGTGTATATGTTTGATGTGTCGCGTAATTTTTCTTTCCCCGAGGATGGGTGCCAATGGACTTCATACTTCTTGTGCAAGACTGCCGGTTAAAAATCTGGTGCCTTTTTTTTTCGCAGCATTGAGTTAGAGGCCAATAAAAAAAAAAAACTTTCAGTAATCAATTAAAAGATTTATCTTCCCATTGCTTAAAAGATTTATCTTCTCTCTTTTTTTGTCTTTTTCTTTTTCCAGAAAGAGTGGTATATTATGAGAAAGGAAGATGGAGGAGAATAGTTTGGCTCAATGTAGAGTTAGACGACTTAATATGAGGCCAATTGGCTCAATGAACGAACTGTCCCTCCAACAATAAGGTTGGGAAGAGTAATTGAAGGACAATCAATGAAATTAAAAGCAAGGATATCACTGTTGGTTACTGAAACCCTTTAAAATTATTTCCGTTTGAGAATGTAAAAACATGATTTTAGCATGAACCAAAAAACAAGAAGTAAACATGGAATAAAAAATACTAGAGGAAGGGATGACCAAAGACGAGGTAAATCTAGTATAGCATAAAAGCTGCTATCATTGTAAAGTTTCTCATAGTGCCTGAGAATTGCTAGTACCTGTGCAAGCACGAAAACCTTGTCACAGGAAACAGAAACTAAGAAAATGGAGAGGACCTCAATTGCTAAATAGATGTAAGGAGAAATATAAACCAAAAACAAATTATCATCTCAGGATACTTAAGTTCACATAATACAGGTGAGCTCAATCATAAGAAAGTAACTAGAATTAAGGAAATACATGTAATATCCTTGAGCTCAGTGTTCATCTGTAATAGATTTAACTCCTTCAAGAAGAGTTCAAGATCAACAGAAGATGGATAAAGCTAAAGTACAGTGACACTATCCCTACCTTGCCCGCAAAGTGGGAGATTGTCTTTCAGGAAACAGGAGTCAGCTCGGAAAATTGTTATATTTAACACTAGCTCGATACCTTCCATCAGCTCAAAGACACAAGTGTCATGCACTTTTAAACCGTTGTCTAGTGCAAATTCTCTCCAACCTGGTGAGTGGATCCTCGCACAATTTGATTGGAAAGAGCACCTTGCACGCCAAGTTCTCCCATCAGAAGCTCGCAGAATGACAAAGGCTTCCTCCTCTTTGAAATATCTCCTGAAGAAGTTACCAGGTATATTCTGGAAAAAAAAATTGTTGTAAGAGTTACTCTTTTTAGAGATTCTGAGTTCTTTTACCCCCTTCCCCTTTAACAGACTAAAAACAAAGAACACTTGCCCCAAGGACAGCTGGACTCGACATCTATCAAAAGGCAATGAACTGACCATCTCTTGACTGACAGCTTACCAAGAGGAAATTTCTTGAGACATGAGTCGGCTGCATAGAAACAATGAAGTATGGATTCCCCAATTTGGAACATTGTGCATCTATGAGGGTATAGCCTTTTTCTTGCCAAGTATTTGTCATCTCAGAAGCTGTGAAACCGGAGAGACAGAAGAAAGACCAAAGAATGTCATGTTTAACAATATAATTCAATAAAATGGCCACCACAAAGGAAGATCCTCATGTTATCAAACAAGCAGTATCCGTGAGAGTAGCCATAAAAAGTAGAATGACATACCTTTTACTTTATAAGCTGCACTATTCAAATTACCTTCCACGTCTCCTATTTCAAGTTTCACATTGTTAATCACCTTCATTTTTGCTTTTTGAGCTGCACAAAACAAATCCTCTTCCACGTCTGGCTTTTCAAGCTTCACCCTGATAGGCTCCTTTTTTTCTGGGTGAAAACTTGGAGAGGATGCTGGAAGGCCAGAATTTTGCCTTTCACAATATGGAGAATCTGCGACTACTTTATTTTTTGGCTTTAGATTATGCATATTCTTCTCTCCTCCCCATTGTTCAAGCTTGACCTCTTTCAGTTGCTTACTTCGTAGTGGATACCTACAACGTGACACATCCAAACTGGTAGCAGTTTTCTTTCCACTATGTTGATTTGTGGTTGTCATCTCAGATGCTGAGGGATCCATTACTGGTAATTTGTTGCAGTGCTCTGCCAAAAAGATGACGTGGAAGAAGGGAAGGAAGGGAGGAAAAGAAGAATGTCATCCATCATAAAATAATTCAATGTAATGAATCTCACAAGGGAAAATTGTTTTGTTACTGAACAAAATACCTTCCACATCTCTTTTTTCAATCTTCACATCTTTCAGTTGCTTACTTCGCAGTGGATACCTACACCATGATGCATCCAAACTGGTAGCAGTTTTCTTTTCAGTATGTCGATTAGTGGTAATCATCTTAGATGCTGAGAGATCCACCACTGATACTTCATTGCAGTGCTCTGCCAAAAAGATGACGCGGGAGGGGGGAAGGAAGGGAGGAGAAAAACATTGTCATCCGTCATAACATAATTCATCGTAATGAGACTCACAAGGAACATTGTCTTGTGACTGAACCAAATACCTTTCAAATCTCTTTTTTCAATCATCACATCTTTCAGTTGCTTACTTCGCAGTGGATACCTACAATGTAACACATCCGAACTCATAGCAGTTTTCTTTTCAGTATGTTGATTAGTGGTTGTCATCTTAGGTGCTGAGGGATCCACCACTGGTACTTCAATGCAGTGCTCTGCCAAAAAGATGATGTGGGGTGTGGGGGGGGGGAAGAGGAACGGAGGAGAAAGGAAGAAGAATGTCATCCATCATAACACAATTCCACGTAATGAGTCTCTCAGAGGAAAAATTGTCTCGTTACTGAACTAGCAGCATTAATGAGAGTAGGCACAAATATTAAAACCAAATACCTTCAGCATCTCCTTTGTCAAGCTTCACTCTGTTAGTCTCTGTCTTTTTTGCTTTTTGTGCTGCACAAAACAAGTCCTCTTCCGTGTCTCGTTTTTCAAGCTTTACCTCTTTCAGTTGCTTACTTCGCAGTGGATACCTACAACATGACGCATCCAAATTGATAGTAGTTTTCTTTTCACTTTGTTGATTAGTGGTTGTCATCTTAGATGCTGAGGAATCCACTACTGGTACTTCATTGCAGTGCTCTGCCAAAAAAGATTTGGTGCGGTGGGGGGAACGAAGAAGAATGTCATGCCTCGCAACATAATATTGAACATAATGAGACTCACAAAGGAAAATTTTCTTGTTACTGACCAGCAGCATCAATGAGAGTAGCCTCAAATATTAAAGCCAAATACCTTTAAATTTATATGCTTCAGCATACACATTCTGTTGCACAACTTGCTTTTCAAGTTTCTCCATGTTAGTCTCCCCCCTTCTTGCTTTTGGTGCTGCACAATGGAAATCCTCTTCCAAGTTCACTTTTTCAGGCTTTGTCTTAGGCTCTATTGTTTCTGGACAGGATATTGGAGCGGCAGTTTTTTGTCTTCCAGAATGTGAAGAATCTGCAACTACTGTGTTCTTTGGTTTTACACAGTGCATAGTCCCTTCTGTTTTTGATTGGTCAAGCTTCACCACTTCCACCGGTTTACTTTTACTTCGTAGAGGATGCCTACAATGTGGTGCTTCCAAACTCGTAGAATATTTCCTTTTATTGCATCTGCTAGTATTTGTCATCTTAGAGGCTGGGGGATCTAGTACTTCTTTGCAGTGCTCTGCTAAAAAAAGCGACCGGGGAAGGGGGAGCAGGAGGACACAAAAAGAGAGAAAGGAGAATGTTATTGGCACCAGCATAATTCAACCAGAATGTGTACCACAAGGGAAGATTCTCATGTTATTGAACAAGAAGAATCCATGAAAATAGGTACAAACATTTAATCAATATACCTTTTCCTTTATCTGCTGCATGGTACAAATTCTTCTCCATGTTTTGTTTTTCAAGTTTCTCCTTCTTAATCTCCTTCCTTTTTTCTTTATCTGTTGCACAATACAAATCCTCCTCCACGTCTGGTTTCTCAAGGTTTACCCTGATAGGATCCTGCCATTCTGGAACACCAGACCTTTGTCTTCTTGGATATGAATGATCTGCTACTTTTGTAACTTTTGCAGTCTTCTTTCTAAGAAGATCGTCCACGATGTCATCACATGCATTATTGTTTGTCTCAGGCCCAACTTCCTTCTTTATATGACTAGCATCACCCACTATCTTTACAAAATTCTCTGGTGTCATATCTTCACTTGGGCCAGAAGGATATTCAATCTCGGAAGCACTTAAATCAAATATGGAGACAGAGAAATGAGAGTTTCCATTATATTGGAAGAGTAAAAAGTAACCACAACCAATTGAATAGTACTCCTTGAACTGGTCCCAACCCTCCTTCAGCCATGCCATGCCATTAGAGTTTTGCAATTTTACTTTCCATAGCGCACCACTTGGGACCTCAAGGGACACAAGATCTCGCATGTTGGCCCCATACTTCATTACAAATTCATCTGGAATGTGCTGTATGATACCAAAATCGGAAAGAAATGGACAAAAAAAAGAGAGAAGAAACCAAAAGGAAAGAGAAGAGAACTTTAAGACCAATATCTGGGTTCAGGTAGCTGAAGAGACTGTAGTCAAGTTTTCAATCACATATTGCCACAGGAAAAAGGAGAAAGAAAAAGCGATAGCAAGATGCTAAGTAGGAAAATCATGTACAGACAAACAACAAATACTGAAGTGATTAGTTAAGCTCAGGTCTTAGATCTGTCAATCAAGCTCCACAAGACAGAAGATTTCACTCATTTGTTTCTTTTAAGATTAAGACATCTAAATCGGAATAAATATCTGAATATTAACATGTATTAAGATTAAAACGCTTGAATCTTGATACACATATGAATATTAAGATGTTGTATTAAGATCTGAATATTGAATAATTAAGACTGTTTGTTTTCTCTACCGCTGAATGTATAAAACTTATATTTATTTAAAAATTAATAAGTATAAATTCAAATCAAATAGTACTAATTAATCTAATACTATATTAATAAAATGCTATTAAAAATTACATTGTTGTTGGTGGTGGTGATGGCTAATAGTAACGGTTGTGGGTGCCGACCGGGTAATGTCTGATAGTGATATTGGTTGATGGTGGTGATTATGGGCAGTAGACGGTGGATGACAGTAGTAGTACACTGTGGTGGTTGATGGTGGTGGTGACTGATAATGGTGATGAGTGATATATAGTGGTGGTTGATAGTGGTGATTACCGATTATTGTAGTAATTGTGGTTATTGGTGATGGTTGTAAATGATGGCTAATGGTAGTAACGACTAACATTCGTGCTTGATAACAATGGTAGTTATGGCCGAGGATGGTGGTAATGAATAGTGGGTAGTGGGTGGTCGTCTACGATGTGGAGGACACCAATAGCAATGGAGGTGGTGGTTAATGGTGAAAGTGTAGGAATAATAGTGAAATGTTTGTAAATAAATTCTTGAATGTATTATTAAGACACTGTTATAGTATAGACTTATTAAGTGGTTGTAAAATTAAAAAAACAAATAGACTTAATGGTTAAGATCTGAATGATAAAGATTAAGATCTAAACAATAAACGCACTTAACGACTGAGATCTGAATGATCAAGAAGCAGACCAACTTGTTTGGATGGTTGTTACATATCGTTTTATAATGTATCGTATTGTATTGTATTATAGTGTATTGTATTATAGTGTATTGTATCGTTTGATGAATACAATATTTGGATAAATTGTATCGTTTGCTATTGTTTCATGATGTCACGTATCAGCAATATGAAGGACAAACTTGCGGTATTACAAATAAAATTTATGGTACAAAGTAGAATTATTATATAAAAAGGTAGAATAAAGGATTATTTAATAATAATAAAGGGCAAGATAAGAGGAAAAGACAAGGTAACGTCGCGACTACACCAAACCGGTTGTTACATAAAGTGACATTTTTCGTCGTTACGTAACGACGGAATTTACGGTATGATACAGTAAAATTTAAGTAAAAAGCAAAACAAACATTATATTTAAAGTAACAATACGATACAATACATTACTTAGTTGAGACTGGTTTATATTTACATTAAGGTTTGCCAAAAAACTTGTGATCCTCAAGCTTCCCATTCCCTCAAGAACACTCTTGTATCTAACCCCATTTAATTGGACACAGAGAATCATAACTCTTTTATGGATTATGCTAAAAAAATTGCCACGCCGTACATCCACTGGCGCACATTTAAAGACCTAGTTGAAAGACCAAAGATACATTACATGACTTCCTTCTAAATGTTGCAGCATCAAAGTGACTGATTAGATTGGCCTTTCAGATGGGGTACAGATTAAGGTTGAATTTGGATTTTTGTCATCAAGACTATTATTTACACTTCCTCAGTTCAATCTCATTTGTATCTTGAAAATCCTGGAAACAAGCTCTCTCAAAACTTATTATACTATTAGTAAATATTACAATAATTTTCGCACTGTTACATTACTTAAAAGCAAAGACTGAGTAATATGAAAAGATATACTGTAGTAAATTATTTGCTGCAAAGTGTCAGATTAACTCTACAAGTAGAAATATTTCAATCTTGTGTTTTTGAAAGTTGATCATTTAAGTCTATCAAAACTTTGCTTCTGATGGGATGTCTAAAATGTAGAGACACTCCAAAATCAGCTAAATTTAAAAAACTATACTAGTTTGAGAGGAATTGTTCTAATATCAAAAGTTGGCTAATTATTTAGCTTTACCATTCGAAACAAGAAATGTGCTTGGCTTAACCTCCCTAGTTTGTGTGACACCTTAGACGAATCTCACATCGACAAAACACGGGAGAGATGTTGGGTATATAAGTAAACAAGCCTTAGACCCTAGTGATATGTTTTAAAGCCGTGCGGGCCTAGGCCCAAAGCGGACAATATCACTAGTTGGTTGGACCATTACAATTTGACATAACAAACTCATAATATAATCAAAGAGAGCTCCCTACTACATCTCCCTCTTATGCCATTTGAAATTACAATTTTTTACTCCCTTAGTTTGGTGTCATTTATAGAGACATTCAAGTAATACAACAATGTGTTGGTCCAAATTTAGTATTGGAACTTAAATGGAAATGGAATCCTCAAAAATAGCATCATCCATCCACATACAAGATGTTGACTAGGACTAAGTGCAAATCATCAACATTGATATCAACGTCATACTCAAACTGGATGCTCCTATTTGTGGCAAGAAACGATTTTTACAAACCAAAATGGGAAATTTAAAAACTAAAAAAAAATCTTCACAAAGTTATAAAGAGAAAGCATAACTAAATCAAAAAGTGAAGGGAAGAGAAACCAAACAAATAGAAACAGAAAAAGGAAATCATAAACTCAATTGCAGAAAGAACATACTAATTTAGAGGCATGAGGAAAGAGAATAATCTTGAAGAACTGAGGGGTTATCTCCGCCACATTCACCGCTTGTCGCCGTCTCTTTACCATCTCCGCCACCAACTCTTCCTCTTGTTGGGTAAAGCAACGCCAAGCTTTAAAAAATAATTGGAACTGAAAATCCCCTCTTCTGCCCACCGCAGTATTAATTTAACATTAATAATCAGTTCCGTCACTATTCAGCTCCTAAAGCGGTCTTTTATTATTCCTAGAAAAACTAAAACAATGAATATGCAATCCACCTGAAGGTATTTTTTTTTTTTTTTTAATTAGGTCTATTTTTATTCCTTTATTGCTTTCTTCTTCTTGTTCCCACTGTCTTTTCTTGAACTAGTTCTATAGTCCGTGTCATTCATACATATAAAACTTCAAGGGTGGTTTGTTAGGATGTATAACAATAATGCGGAATAAGGTGTATTAGTATTGTATGTGTTAGTAATGCAAGTATTTATTAGTTGTGCATATATTTTTTCTTATTTACTGTTTGGTGTGGTGTATTAAAATTATAATGCATTGCATAATTTTTAAGAAAAATAGTTGTTTACAAAAATGCTCTCCATATTCTCTAACTTTAAAGGACTTTAAGGACAAGTTTATCTTTAAACATATTAATGCATGCATTAACAACCATGGTATTACTAATGTCATGGTTTTCTATGCATTACTAATGCATAGGATAATACCAAATATGATGTATAACTAATACAAGTATTAGTTATACACATGTCGAAAAAATGTATCAAACAAGGTATTAGTAATGCATAGAGCTAATGCTTGCATTATTTTTTCTAATACCTCCTGCCAAACGACCCCTAAAAATTATAAAAATATTATTAAATTATACATATTTGATATGCAATTGTTAATTATTATGTTAAAAGTATTTTTAGAATTTGATATTGAGCTAAATATTATAACAATTATGAATATTAAAATAATTTATGCATAATCATGGTGTTAATTAAAATGTGTAAATTTTGGTACATAAATTTAATGAAATGAGTGTTTGACTAAAGGGCAATGGACATATTATTATACATACCTAGAGGATTAAAACATATTTTTTTCACAAAAAGCCTTTCTCAATTTTATAATCGATTATAAATCAATAATTAAAAATAAAGAAGATCGAAGAAGTGTTGGTCAACATTATCGACTTTAGTTATAATTTCATACATATTCTTTTTCTGTTTTTATTTTTTATTTTTATTAAGATACTTAAATTATATAGTATTAAGATATTAGCTCAATGAAAATTTAGAAAATCAATTGTAATATCTAACATATAAAATATCATTGGTAGTTATCATTATATCTAACATGGA